AAAGAAGATAAACAGCCAAGCTCTGAACATTAATATTTATATTCCTCTCAGCTATACAGACACTTCATTCTAGCAAGGGATGGTAAAACCACTTCTGCAAGGACTAAAGTTTAATATAGCCTTAAGTGAAGTGCACATTTCTGATTGTCAGGATAGATAATATCTGAGTAACACAATAAGGCTGACTCAGAGGGCTGGATACTGCTTCAAATGTCAGACTTGGCAAGCAGAGAGGAAGGAAACCAAGGAAAAATGCCTTGAGAATAATTATTTTCTATCCTACAAATAATCAAGCTACTTTACCAAACATATGCCAATACTTGCCAGGATCCAAGGGCATAGAGATTAACCTCAACTCAATTAAGACTGGGACTCCTCTGAAAATCCATCATCTTTCAAAATCACAGAACACAAGAGAGAGAGAGAGAGCATAAAGCTGTCAGCTCTCAAGATCTACGATCCTAGTGCTGTTGCACTTTTATGACACCATAACTGATGGCACAAACTTTGCATGTTCCACCTATACATTGCCAATCCCATCACTCTTAGCAGCATGCTAAACTAAAAGACCCCCCCCAAGATACTTCATAACTAGATTTTGCTTCCTGAAATTCAGTTCTGCCTTTCACTATATTCAATAGTTATATTTATTAATTTTTATTTTTTTTCTTTCATGGGAAAAAAAAGTGTTAGAATACCATGCTTGGGACCTGCTAGAAGAAAGAGTGCTTGAAATAGCAAAACCAAGTAACTTTGGTGCCAGCTGTACCATGTTCCCTGGTGTATCAAGAAATGCTACAATTAAATTCAACTAATTAGATTTTTTTAATCCCGTAAAAAGATAACATATTCCATTCAAAATGAAAGCCAAGAGACTCCTCTGGGTCTCATAACATTAAAACAAGTTCCTATTCTGTCAGCTAAGCATTCCACAGAAGTCGTTGGAGGGGGTTGTTAAAAAAGTTTTTAAAAAAAGTTGAACTAGCGGAACATCAAGTCCTGAAGAAGTAATAACTCTGATTCTCTGCATCCAGTTTCTCTCTTCTGGAAAGCAACATTCTATAAATTTTCACGCCTATTAATTTGCAATCAGAAATGTTAAATCAAGAATTGCATTTAACAGTAGGGGAGAAAGATCTGCTTTATAAGAAACTTTTCACTGCACAACAAGTTTATCTGATGGAGGAAAATATTTGGCCTGCAAGAACCATGGGCCCTGTATCTTGTCACATCAATATCTAGTTATTACTCCTCCTGTCCAAAAGGCAAAACTCAGAACGCGCACAGGGGAAAGGGCTCTGCTGGGATTTACAGCCCATTTAATTTCCTTAAGACCCTGGTTCTCTAATTAGGTAACCCAAATAAAAACAGCCTCAAAAATACTTAAAATATAGACTTCATGTTTCTTATGTAAGTGGTACTGAAAGAATGGTTATACACAGGTATCACAATGGCTATTAAAAACTAAGTATAAATGCTATCATTGCTGATGAAGAACAGGAAACGTCACGTTTCATGAATGCATTCACATTTTCAAACAGTATTCCACACCTTTTTCCTAACAGACTGTAAACTGTAAGAGAAGCACTTTAATCTAGACCATGCATTTAAAGTAGACAGAAAATCAGAAGAGTCATTATTTAGAAGTTTACTAAAATCTGCTTCCATTTAAAAGACTTCCAAATTAGACAAAGAGACAAGATCACGTAACTGAAGGTTTTCAGAACTTTTTTCCTGCGCTTTTTCATTACAAGAGAGGCTTTTTTCTGCCACCCACCTCCCCTTAACCTTGTTTCATCTTTTAGCTTTAGTTCTGAAATAGTAACAACAATCTTTCGGTCAAAGTCTGAAGTTTAAGAGACAACCTAAATCTAAAGGCCTACACACAGCACAGCTGTTAGCTGATGTTGGGAGCTATCTTTTGTCCCTATAAACATAAGCCACAAATGCTATGTCTGCCAATTTCACTGCTGACAGTGGGAAGGAAAACAAGAACAAGACCATTCAGGTAATCTTCACTGATAGTTGACCAGCTGTTGGCCATCAACTAAAATCTTTTATTGCACGTGATTCATCCTCCTACTCTACCAGAAATGCAGGAACTTTCCAACAGAATCACAAGGCTCAATGTTTCACTTCCATCATATCTCTTAACAGAGGACATGCGGTCTTTCAGAAGACTTAGCAGCAATCAATGCCCAGAGTAAACTATTCACACAGACTTGTACAGGATAAGTTGAAAACAGTAGTAACACAGTTGACTTACAAACAGAGTTAGGTATATAAAGAAAAGAATCTGGAAAAGACTGTATCAAAATCTTTTCCTCATGCTCTGTATAGAATGCAGAATTATTTCTGTATTGCCCAAAAGTTGATCTGAATCCAGAACAACTTACTGACAGGAAACAAATAAATAAATAACTAAAAAACCCCAAACACATGAACTGTAGTCTACATAGAGATAAAACACCTTTATATCTTTATACCTTTATATTAAGAGCTGAATTAAATGTTTTAGATCTATTTCATCCAAACTAATATCCCCACATTTATGGTTTATAAATGTTTCTCCTCAGCTTCCCAGTGCACATCAACGTTGCACAGTTTCCACAGTGAAACTCCACTAGCTATTTCATTTCCTCATTTTCCTACCTTTGCACAACATAATATACAAACAACCAACTTAATACATTTTAACATAAAAAGTTTCTTTCTTATCTATGTCAAAACCCATCTCCCCTCCAAATCATGTAGGTTTGAGCCAAACACAAGAGATACTTGTCCCTATTCTTGAAACTCCGCATTTCCAAAAAGAACAAGTGCTCCCAAAACGAAGTATGAACAAGAGGATGGATTTGAAGGAACATTTTACATGTCATGAAAGAAAACCTGTAAAGATACATTTCAAATGTACCTGAGCTCCATTCCCTGCACCACTGTATTTATTAATAACTACACATCGATACAAATAAATTCACCTGCAACCTCACAAATTAAAGCAGATATTAATCCTAATTCTCAAAATAAGTTTTTCAGTTTTAGTGGACATAATATAAAGGAAATAGCAAGGCCACAACTCATTTTCTGAGCATTGTTAAAAACTGTTATAATCTGCTGACTTGTGAAAAAAATATTGCTCTGAAAAAGCCCCAGGAGCTTCTTCCCAAGCAGCACACTGACAGCAGATGGCCAGCATCAACTCTGCAGTTACCAGTCTGGCCTGGCAGCCTCACAGATGACAATGATACTCTTTTCTTTTTGTGGATGTGGGGAGGGGGCAGCTTGAGAGATGCAGACAACTGGGTATCATAGGCAACAACCCCTTCCACTAAAAACATACATATGTATACAATCTATTTCCAAGCCTGTCACATGCTTCTTCCATTAATTTTCATTTCGGTTAGGTTTCCCTCCTTTATTTGTAACACTGAAAAAACTTTAAGTAGTAGAAAAGATAAACAAGGTGGCAGGAAATGGATAACATAAAAGATACAGTAGAACTGACCATTGTCAAGCATTGCCAGAGACAAACTTCACGAACTACCTGTTGTGGCAACTTTCCCCTCTTTGTTTCACTCTCCCCTCAACACAGACTTCCCCCGCCTGGCCCTGAACAGATATTCTCTCGCCTAAAGAGGTGAACAGAACATCTGATGAGGAGCTGCTGTTTCATTTCCTCTCCTTCATCTCACCCCTCAAATGGAGAAGCCCTCAAAACAGAGGAGGGGAGGGCATGTTTTTAATCCAAACGCTGTGTCTTAAAATACTGTTGTGCAACATTTGGCTGAGAGTGATTGTAAAGCTATATATATACACATAAGCATTAGAGTGCTTTATTCCCCCTACATCTCCTGGGAGATAAAAAAAAAACCAGTGAGGCTTCTGCATTAATAGCCATTTACTATTTCAGTTTTACACCCAAGAATTTGAATATCTGAGCAAAACCTTTATTTTGCCAAAGCCAATAACTGTTTAGAAATGAAAATAAGCAGAAAGCAAGCTATGAGTTCCTTTCCGACCAACAGATGCAACACAAAGACGGTGGAAAGGATTTTCTCATGAGCAAAGAGCCTGATATACTTAACTGAGGCATTTGGACCTCTCCTCAGGAATGCTCAGTCCCTCACAGAGACTTCTGTCTTACATTGATTCAGCATTCCTTACCTCATTTCTTGTAATTCTTCCTGTTCTTCCTCATCTCAGCTATCCTTTTGAACAATTTATCACATATAGAAAGATGGTGGAGAAAAGTATATCACAGTCCTGCTGTCATTATCTCTCTTGAAAATCTTACTGGGAAATAAGGTTATTCAAGAAGAAAACCTCAAGTCTTCTTATGGTCTAATTTCTGTCTCATTCAGGCTTAATTCCAGTAATGGAATGTAATGGAACCTTAGAGGCTGCACCCCTCCCTAACAAGAACACCTTTGGGTAATCATGACTTAATCCAAACTAATTTTTAACAATCCTTAGATATTGTTATTCTTCTCAAAGACCTTGGACTATGTGTCAAATGCCATGCAATGAAACCTAAATTACTTACCACCAGAAGGCAGAGATGATAACACAACACACCCCATTTTCCTCCCAGCCCCAATGAGAAGCTTTCTTTGCTGACACACACAATGTGACACACACAATGAATACCAGAAAGTACTGTCCTTTCATAAACTCCCTCAGAAGTTTTTATGCTTTTACCACTTGTTCATCAAGTGCTGTAGTACAGGACATTAGTTCCCTGCATAAATCTGGCACTTCTTGTTACTGCAATTATCAAGAGATGTAACACAAGTACCAGCTTTGTGGCAGAGATGCAAGTTAATGCACACAACTCATGCAGAACTAAATTAATCAAACCTCACCGAAACAATTACTTGGTCCAGCAAGTAAAAAAAAAACCTGCATGTGCTCAGTAGCTTTGATTCTTTTGGGAAACATACCTTCAAAACATTTTGGATTGTTTTCTCAGAAACAGACAAAACTTAAGAGTGCCAACTCACCTTCCACACTGTCAGAACAGGAGGTACCAATCCCAGTGTCCCCGCTGTCGGAAGCTATACTGTGTCTTCTGACAGGATTGCTTTGACTGCCTGATGAAATCGTTGTGCTCTGCCACAGGGATTCAGTACCAGGTAACCATCCCACTGAGGAATAATCTGAGCCTATAAAAAAAGGAAGTCAGAATTCTGTCATTACAAACACAGTACAGAAGGCAACTAAAAAGTATCTGTCAAGATGAAAACTGAATCCTCCGTTTCATAGTTCAAGTTTGAGTCAGACTGTGCCTACGACTTGGGATATTAGTTTTTTAAAATTAAAATCCTTTTGCTAGGTGAAACCTTCCCAAAAGTTCCAATACATATATTTTTTACTATTTAAAAACATGATCCTTATACTATTCTTCCACAAACATTAACAAAACAACTATCACATGACTCCTATCCCAGAACTGATTCTCAATTCACAGCAGATTTTTGCATTGCATGCCTTCAAATACAAAGAGATGAACAAATGTTAGGCCAGAAACCAGCTGAAGATTTGGCCAGTGAGATACAGTGATTTCCAACTGTGCATAAACCTCATGACCTAGGTGATAAAATAAAGCCAGCAGTGAAATCGTCAACACTGATACCTTCAGTAATTCATTACGTTTCTCTGTTATCAGTAGTTTTCAGTGGTCAAGACAGACTACAAACTGAAGAAGGCACATCGTAGCTGCACACAAGCTATGTTTGTGAGACATCTATCCATCTTGTAGTTTGCTTCATTTTGGTTATCTTCTTAATTCAAATAATTATTAAAATATTACATATTAAAACACAATTGAGAGCAGCAAACTGTTCCTCTGCTCAAGGAGTTTTTAAAGTAGGCCACATATTCTCATAGTCAACCTCAAGAGAATATATATCACAGAGTAAAACCCCAGACAACCATTACAATTTCCAATAGCCAATATCTAAATCTGAGAATTGTTTATAGGCAGACTACTGATCACCACACTCACACTCTGAACCAACAGAGTTACATAAAGAACCCTGGAAAAAAGCACGGCTGCACTTCATCTATATATAATCACATACATACAGCCCCTCTAGCAGTTAGCTCTGTGCACCACTTTCAGCAGGAAATGACTCATGAAGAAGTATCAGTTCACATACAATGTCTCTTGTGCTACATGCGGTTATTTTTAGGTCATTCAAACATTTTCAGCAGTGTCCATCCAAAGTCATAACATCAATTTAACTCTGCAATGATACCTGCAGATCATTGCTAATTCCAGCTGTACTCGTTTTCCAGCAAATTAAGTAGTTTGGAAAAGTATAATAAAAAAAGGAATATGTGTGTGTGTGTGTATATATATATATATATATATATCCCCGCCCCTACATATATGAATGCACGCATACTCCCCATATAGCAGCCAGATCACTAGACCCACTAGCCAGAGTGGTAACAGCTGCTTGCCAAGTCAACTGTAAATAGAGGAACACACTAAATACCTACTTACACAGTCAATTCCTTACTGCATGTGCTATTTAACTGTAAGATGACATCTAAAACAGTCTACTTTCTGTAAGTAGGTTCCTGAAGGTCTTAAACATGCCTGTCTATCTCATTTGCCTCAACTCTGTTCTCCATTGAGGTTACTGCCTCTTCTTCCCTTTAACACATTTTCCTATCTTTTCTCCTGGTATTCAAAATCACTCAGTTCTCCCACATCATTCCACTTCAGCAATATCTTGTGTAATGTATTTCCTTCTCTTCCTTAGTTTTTCCTCTCCAAAAGTCTCAGCTATTCCATTGAGTATCTTCCAAGACCAGAGGAGCCACACATGAACACACTTGCCTGTGGCTCACCAGTCACACCCTCTAAAGAGGCACCAGCCAAGATTCTAAGGGAACACCATTCCAGGTGCCATTCTTCATACCATCCTCTCTGTGCCATCACCTAATGTACTAAAGTTTTGCATACAGCTAGTGGGAATCTGGGACATTTCTGCCTCTCCTACCATCCAGCACATTTTTCACTAAATAGTCTGGCTGCTTTGGGAACAATAATTTTTCCCTCTAAATAGGGCTACTTTTCGCAAGAGTTCCACTTCATACATCTCAAGCTGCACCTAGCTATTCCAGCAAGAGTAATGCTGACTTATGGGAGGCCCAGCTAATTAAATCAGAGACAGTTCTGATTTAGGAGACATTTCAAATACATTTATAGAAGAGAAAATTAGACTGGTTTATCCTTTATCATGCTGTTTTCCACTATGCAACACTTTGGTGACATTTCAGCTGTTATGGCATTAAAAAAGTGTTAAAGGAAATGCAGCAGATAATGCTACCACTACTGCACATTAAATTAACACAGTATTAAGTGTCGAACCCTTTAGATTTCTTGGTTAGAAAAATACTCAGTATGTGAACCTATAACCATCCATATGCAAACCCCCAAAGGGGAGAGATACTTTTCACTCTGGTGGAACTTTGAGGAATAAGAGCTAAAAATACCACAGAACCAGAGTAACTTATGAAAGGACATTCAGAAGTCACCTACTCTAACCCCCAGCTCAAAGCAGGGCTAATGAGATCAGACTGCTCCAAGGTCCCATCCAGCTGAGTCCTGAACACCTCCAAGGACACAGATTCCAACACCCTTTCTGGGCAGCTTGTTCCAGCATTTAACCACATCTCAGGAGTCTCTCACATTCCAAACATTGGTGCAATATATCTTAAAAAATGCAATAACACAGTAAAACTAGTCTCAACAAAAAGGGTTAACATACTAGAGGGGGCAGACAGTCATCCTCATTGGGGTCTCTACAGGTACTGTAAGCTGAGAAAATAATAGGTGCTACAATTTTAGAAAATAATAGGCATTACAAATGGATTACCCTGCTCTAGTCTATTCTCAGTTTTACACCCACACAGTCTTGGGACACACCAAGCCCCCTGTGTGGTGCTGAACAGAGGTCCAAGAGGACACACTGGCACAACACACAATTAATGCAATGCCTTCTTGAGCACTTTTGCACCCAAGGGAAGTTCAGCATCACTAAGTTAACTCATGAAGCCTGATCCTTGAGCTTGCAGGCCTGAAGAGCTAAGTACTGGTACACATCCATAGCTACCCACAGATCAGCATGAGGCCAGCAAGAGTTTATTGGCTTTGGCTCAGCACAGACCAGCCAGATCCCATCTGGCTTTCCAGGAAAAATACTCAAGTCAGTCTGCACGGTGCGCTGGGCTCCAGAAGAGACTCTTCACTCAGGCACTCCTTCTCACTACCCACTGGATGCACAGCCAGCAATGCCTTCCCCTTACAGCCAACCTGTACACAGAGATACGGACAGTGGCTGGCATGGGGTGGAACACACTCATTTTCTCCCTGGGCTTCTACTGCTCAGGAGAAACCTATACATTTACAAGGGGTATGTCCCAAGAAAGACAATTATTTTAGACTTTTAGTACGTAAACTGTATGTGGGTTTTAACCTATTTTAGGCATGTCAAAAGAACACGGCTGCCCATGATCACTTCCAAGAAATGCTTTCTCTTTGCCTCCCTGACATTACACATGCTCTGTTTTTTCTAAAAAGATAGCTAACGACGTATTCCAGGAGTCTACACTTTTTAGTATTTCATGGCATATCTGCATCACTGTTTTACTTTGCTGAACTAATGATGACTCTACTCCATAGAAGGCCATTACAAAAATACAAGTGTCTACATGAAAGAAAGCTTTTCAAAGCTGATTGAACCCACTACCATAAATAAATACAAGCAACAAGATAGTAGGAACAGACTCAATAATTAGGTCTCAACAGTAAGTAACCCATAAAATAGGACCTGATAGAACTCGCTAGTCCAAGACATTATTTAAAAATTAATTTATTACTTTCTTTATTTGAAACTAACTTTCCAAGCCAAGTTATGAGGAATCACCAATGGCTATGCACCCTGTTCTATGGTCCCCAGCTCCTTTTTGAACAGCTCTCTGCAAATATATGATCTTTCACACAGAAAACAGCCTACACTAGAAGAACCAAGTATAAGAGAGGAAGATACACAGGAGTCCCCACACTGCTCAGTTAGCACACCTGCCTTACCCTGCTGCTCTAATTTCAAGTCTGCCAATCAACAGCTAGTGTCTGTCTGCCCAAAATACAGTGGGATAAGAAAAGCAAGCAAAAACTTCTAAGAAATATTTGTGCTGCTAAACTGTATATTACCATCTGACTATGATCATTCTTTACCAGGCTAGAAAAATCTACCTTTCATAACATTCACCAGAAGAGAAAGAAGAGTAGTGTCATCCTACCCACCTGTAATTTCCATCAACAAACATGACAAAATACACACGAGATTCCAAACAAATCTCAGAAGGAGCCTTGTTTATACAAAAAGTTGACTACCTCCTTAAATTTGGTCAGCTAAATATACCAACATAGTCCCGTGTTTCCAGACTAGTGTCCTAGTTAGGACAGCTGAGATCAGTTCATCATGGTGGGTGTAACCCAAAACTGTATTCTATAGCCTTCCATGTCATTTCCCAGAAACTAGACTATTGTTGTCAATAGACTATTCGCACCCTCTGCCCATAGAGCATGGTGGGTGTAACCCAAAACTGTATTCTATAGCCTTCCATGTCATTTCCCAGAAACTAGACTATTGTTGTCAATAGACTATTCGCACCTTCTACCCATAGAGCCTGACTCCTCAGGCTATAAACTAGGTGTTAAGAGGCCTGTGAGATAGAAGGATGTTTCTGTCCTCACACCCTTTGTGAACTCCCCGCCCTGAGGGGAGTACCAAGCATTCCTGCCTGAACTGGAGGATATATAATCTTGGAGTTTTGGAACATTTTTTCAACCCACTCGTGGGATCCAGAGGACGGCTGCATCTCATCGCTCTCAACCAGACTTAGACCACCACTGGACTGCGATCACCAGTTCTGCCCAGACTGCAGCAACTCTCCCACCAGCAGGTTCTTCCCCTCTCCCTTTACTTTGGACTCAAACAGGGCCCAAGGAACACCACTTTGTTCAGGCCCCAGGGTACTGGGTTACACATTTGGTTTTTTGTGGGTTAAGACCAATTGTTTGTTTGTATTATTGTACTTACTGTATTATTTTAATAAATTGTTATTCTGACTTATAATCTCTCCTTTGAGTTGGGTTCATTCCCCCTGCTGGTTAACTTTTAAACCAGCACATTTTGGCGCCCAAACGTCGGGCAGAGAGAGAGAAGTCAGAATCACAATTTCATTTTAAGCATTTGTCTATTTGAATATAGAAACTCCCTGATCACCATGTTGTTTGATGCACTCACATGGATGTTGTATTTGAGCCTGTTCATATTTCCACAGATGGGGTATTATTTGCCTGTTTTGATGCTCTCTTTAAGACCAGGGAGAGGGATCCAAATTGCTTTATTAGTATATTATGTTTATGTCATTCTAACATTAGAAGCAATGAGTTTCATTGTAAATGTGTATTCAGTCCTGTTTGCCTGTCCTGGTTTGGGTTGCTACCTCTGGGGCCTCATTAAAAATCGTACCCAGCTTTTTGGGGGAACAGGGGTGGATGGTTTCCAGCCTCCCACCTCCTTCTTCCCCTTCAGACCTGCTAAAACAGTTTTTGAAAATATTGAGTTCCCTTTTGATGTTAAGGACAGCATAATGTTATTGTTAGTGTTGCTCTGTCTGCTCTGTACTGTGTACACCATGTTTAGGGTCAGAAAAGTGCCTTTTAGGGAGGTTGGTTGGACACCTGCCCTGGGAGCAGATAATGCTGAGTGGCATGGGAAGTGGGAGGACATCAGCCAGTATTTGGAAAAGTTTTCTCCTCCAATGATCTGGAAATTCACCCCTGAACAACTGCAGGATCCTGTTAGCATGATAAGACTGGTGAAGGAAAAATGCTCTGGCAGCTCCAGAGATGGCCAGCTCACAGCAACCTGCTGGGCCCTGGCCACTGCCTACCGGGCAGTGCTTGACATGATACAGCACTGTCAGGGCGAGGAGAGAAGGACCAAATCCGCAGACACCACGTCCACCCAAACCACAGCTGAGTCAGAGGGAGAAAGAAATAAACCAACCAGCACCGTGTCCACACAAACCATCGAGGAGCCAGAAGAACAAGCAAAACCAATAGCAGTCGCCCCTGTCCGTCCACCCAAACCACAGCTGAGTCAGAGGGAGAAAGAAATGAACCAACCAGCACCGTGTCCACACAAACCATCGAGGAGCCAGAAGAACAAGCAAAACCAATAGCAGTCGCCCCTGTCCAGAAAAGGAAATCAAAGACTAAATCAGTTCGCATAGCAAATGATGACGAAGAGGCGGGACCTTCACATCCACCGGAGGAGACAGAGCCAGAAATAATCACTCGGTCCCTATCCCTGGGTGAGCTACGTGAGCTCCGGAGAGAGTTCACGCGACAGGCGAACGAGTCCATTCTGACCTGGCTGCTCCGAATGTGGGATGCCGCAGCTAACGATACGATCCTAGATGGGAGTGAAGCCAGACAGCTGGGATCCCTGTCTCGAGATGTAGTCATTGATCAGGGGATTGGAAGGAGGCAGGAAACTCTCAGCCTCTGGCGGCGACTGTTGTCCAGTGTGAGGGAGAGATACCTTTGCAAGGAGGACCTCCACGTACAGCAAGGACAGTGGAACACGATGGAGCAAGGTATCCGGTGCTTAAGGGAGTTAGCTGTACTGGAGATAATCTTTTCAGAGGATGAAAGATTCCCTAAGAGTCCAGATGCCGTACAGTGCACCTCCCAAATGTGGTTAAAGTTTGCACGACTCGGGCCAGAAATGTATTCCCGCTACTTAGCAACGCTGCAATGGAGGGAGGGAGAGGACAAGGTGGGAGCATTGGTTAGCAAACTCAGGATTTATGAAGACACTGTCACCGCCCCATTACGAGCCCACGTCTCATCTGTGGAAACCAAACTGGCTGAACACGTCCGAAGCCTAGAAGAGAAAATTGAAGAAGGACACCAGAAGCTAAGAGAAGAAATTAAGGAAGGGATTTTCCATATCTCGCCAGGACGAACAAGAGTCTCTGCTATCAGGAGCCAGCGTCCCCCAGCTAAGGAGAGAAGGTACACTCCACGTAGCGATCTATGGTTTTACCTCCGTGAGCATGGAGAAGATATGAGGAAGTGGGATGGGAAACCCACCTCTTCCTTAGCAGCCCGGGTACGTGAGCTGAAAAGAGGAACAAATACCATAAAGAACTCTTCAAGGGTAAACGTTGCTCCAGTCTCTCGTGGGCAAGACTCCAGACGGTACAGGAATGATGATACGTCTGATCCTCTTGAAGGGACCTCCAGGTCATACCCACAAGAAGAGCACAATGAGTACCATGACCAGGACTAGGGGTGCCTTGCCTCTAGCCAGGTAGAGGAGAGGGACAATCGAGTCTATTGGACTGTGTGGATTCGGTGGCCTGGCACATCAGAGCCACAAAGATATAAGGCTTTAGTGGACACTGGCGCACAATGTACATTAATGCCATCAAGATACGTAGGGGCAGAATCCATCTCCATTTCTGGGGTGACAGGGGGATCCCAACAGCTGACTGTACTGGAAGCTGAAGTGAGCCTGACTGGGAAGGAATGGCACAGACACCCCATCGTGACTGGTCCAGAGGCCCCGTGTATCCTTGGCATAGATTACCTGAGGAGTGGGTATTTCAAAGACCCAAAAGGACTTCGTTGGGCTTTTGGCATAGCTGCTGTGGAGATGGAGGAAATCAGACAGTTGAACACCTTGCCTGGTCTCTCAGAGGACCCCTCTGCTGTGGGACTGCTGAAGGTTGAAGAACAATTGGTACCGATAGCCACAGCAACAGTGCAACGTCGGCAATACCGCACCGACCGAGACTCTGTGACCCCTATACAAAAGATGATCCGTGAACTGGAGACCCAGGGGGTGGTCAGCAAGACTCGCTCACCCTTTAATAGCCCTATATGGCCAGTGCGTAAGTCCAGCGGAGAGTGGAGGCTGACGGTGGATTACCGTGGACTCAATGAAGTCACACCACCCCTGAGTGCTGCTGTGCCGGACATGCTGGAGCTCCAGTACGAGCTGGAGTCCAAGGAAACCAAGTGGTATGCCACCATTGACATAGCCAATGCCTTTTTCTCCATTCCTTTGGCAGCAGAGTGCAGGCCACAATTTGCTTTCACTTGGAGAGGTGTGCAGTACACCTGGAATCGACTGCCTCAGGGGTGGAAACACAGTCCCAGCATTTGCCATGGACTGATCCAGACTGCACTGGAAAAGGGTGAGGCTCCAGAGCACCTACAGTACATTGATGACATCATTGTATGGGGGAACACAGCGGGCGAAGTCTTCGAGAAAGGAGAGGAGATAATCCAGATTCTCCTAAGAGCCGGTTTTGCCATTAAACGGAGTAAGGTCAAGGGACCTGCTCAGGAAATTCAGTTCCTAGGAGTGAAGTGGCAAGATGGACGCCGTCTAATTCCAATGGAGGTGATTAACAAAATAGCAGCCATGTCCCCACCAAACAGCAAGAAGGAAACACAGGTTTTCCTAGGCGCTGTGGGCTTTTGGAGGATGCATATCCCCGAGTATAGTCAGATTGTAAGCCCTCTCTACCTTGTGACACGGAAGAAAAATGATTTCCAGTGGGGCCCCGAACAACAACAAGCCTTTGAACAAATTAAACAGGAGATTGCCCATGCGGTAGCCCTTGGGCCAGTAAGGACAGGACAGGACGTGAAGAACGTGCTCTACACCGCAGCCGGGGAGAATGGCCCTTCTTGGAGCCTCTGGCAGAAAGTGCCTGGGGAGACCCGAGGACGACCGCTGGATTCTGGAGTCGGGGATACAAAGGATCTGAAGCCAGCTATACACCAACTGAGAAAGAGATCCTGGCTGCCTATGAAGGAGTTCGAGCTGCCTCAGAAGTAATCGGCACCGAAGCGCAGCTCCTCCTGGCACCCCGACTACCAGTGCTGGGCTGGATGTTCAAGGGAAGAGTTCCTTCCACACATCATGCCACCGATGCCACGTGGAGTAAGTGGATCGCTCTGATCACGCAGCGAACCCGGATAGGGAATCCTAATCGCCCTGGGATTCTGGAAATTATCACGAATTGGCCCGAAGGTGAGAGTTTTGGACTATCCTCTGAAGAAGAGGAGGAGAAGGTGACACGAGCTGAGGAGGCCCCACCATATGACAAGCTACCCGCAGATGAAAGGCGATATGTGCTCTTCACGGATGGCTCCTGCCGCATTGTAGGGACAAACCGAAAATGGAAGGCAGCTGTATGGAGTCCCACCCGGCGAGTTGCAGAAGCGACTGAAGGACAAGGTGGGTCAAGTCAGTTTGCAGAGCTTAAAGCCGTTCAGTTGGCTTTGGATATAGCTGAACGAGAGAAGTGGCCAAGACTCTATCTCTACACTGACTCATGGATGGTGGCCAATGCTCTGTGGGGATGGCTGGAGCGATGGAAAAAGGCCAACTGGCAGCGCCAAGGGAAACCCATCTGGGCGGCGGAGATGTGGCAGGACATCGCTGGTCGAGTAGAGAAGCTGAGTGTGAAGGTCCGTCACGTAGACGCTTATGTAGGCAAGAAACGGGCTAATGAGGAGCATCGTAACAACAAGCAGGCGGACCGAGCTGCCAGGATTAAAGTCTCTCAGGTAGATCTGGATTGGCAGCACAAAGGAGAATTATTTCTGGCTCGATGGGCCCATGACGCCTCCGGTCACCAGGGGAGAGATGCAACATACAGATGGGCTCGTGACCGAGGGGTGGACTTAACCAAGGACATTGTCTCACAGGTCATCCATGACTGTGAGACATGTGCTGCCATCAAGCAGGCCAAGCGGGTGAAGCCTCTATGGTATGGTGGACGGTGGTCAAAGTACAGGTATGGGGAAGCCTGGCAAGTTGACTACATCACGCTCCCCAAAACCCGCCAGGGTAAGCACTACGTACTGACCATCGTAGAAGGAAGCACTGGATGGTTGGAGACATACCCCGTGCCTCATGCCACTGCCCGGAATACCATCCTGGGCCTTGAAAAACAAGTCCTGTGGCGACACGGCACCCCGGAGAGAATTGAGTCTGATAATGGGACCCATTTCAAGAATGGCCTTGTAGACACCTGGGCCAAAGAGCACGGCATTGAGTGGGTGTATCATATCCCCTACCATGCACCAGCTGCTGGAAAAGTTGAGCGGTGCAACGGACTGCTGAAAACCACTCTGAAGGCACTGTGTGGGGAGACTCTCAAACACTGGGAGCTGCATTTAGCAAAGGCCCCCTGGTTGGTCAACACCCGAGGTTCCATCAATCGAGCTGGCCCTGCCCAATCAGAACTTTTGCATACTGTAGATGGAGATAAAGTCCCCGTGGTACATATGAGAGGAATGTTAGGGAAGACTGTTTGGATTAGTCCCACCTCAAGCAAAGGCAAACCCATCCGAGGGATTGTTTTTGCTCAGGGACCTGGTTCCACTTGGTGGGTAATGCAAAAAGATGGGGAGACACGTTGTGTACCACAAGGGGACCTAATTTTGAGTGAGAATGGTCTGTAATGTTTCATTGTATATATATATAGATAGATAGATAGATAGATGTATATAGTTTTAAAGGGATATAGTTTTTAAAGGGGGTTAATTTGGGCATGACATGGATGGCATAGAATAAGGGGTGGCTAATGTCCTAGTTAGGACAGCTGAGATCAGTTCATCATGGTGGGTGTAACCCAAAACTGTATTCTATAGCCTTCCATGTCATTTCCCAGAAACTAGACTATTGTTGTCAATAGACTATTCGCACCCTCTGCCCATAGAGCATGGTGGGTGTAACCCAAAACTGTATTCTATAGCCTTCCATGTCATTTCCCAGAAACTAGACTATTGTTGTCAATAGACTATTCGCACCCTCTGCCCATAGAGCCTGACTCCTCAGGCTATAAACTAGGTGTTAAGAGGCCTGTGAGATAGAAGGATGTTTCTGTCCTCCCACCCTTTGTGAACTCCCCGCCCTGAGGGGAGTACCAAGCATTCCTGCCTGAACTGGAGGATATATAATCTTGGAGTTTTGGAACATTTTTCAACCCACTCGTGGGATCCAGAGGACGGCTGCATCTCATCGCTCTCAACCAGACTTAGACCACCACTGGACTGCGATCACCAGTTCTGCCCAGACTGCAGCAGCTCTCCCACCAGCAGGTTCTTCCCCTCTCCCTTTACTTTGGACTCAAACAGGGCCCAAGGAACACCACTTTGTTCAGGCCCCAGGGTACTGGGTTACACATTTGGGTTTTTGTGGGTTGAGACCAATTGTTTGTTTGTATTATTGTACTTACTGTATTATTTTAATAAATTGTTATTCTGACTTATAATCTCTCCTTTGAGTTGGGTTCATTCCCCCTGCTGGTTAACTTTTAAACCAGCACAACTAGACATTTAAAACAGATCCGTTTACAACTAAGTATATTAAGTGCAGGAAGTAGATTACTTATTAAGAGAGAACAGTTGTTGAAATTTCACTCCACAAAAACATGTATCTTTTTCTGTGTGTTACAGAATGCTGTCAGCTACTGCTGGCAGAAAGTCTCCTAGTTAATTCTGGATCATTACCGCTCCTAATTTCAGTGGCATGCACAGTTCCCATTTGATATACATACACAAAATAATCACACCACTATCTTAATATCTATTTCCTAAAATACCTGAAAAATGCTTGAATGTAAAGATTATTATTTTTAAGTGACAGCTATGATATTATTATTTTACCTAGACACTGAATGGAAAGCAGCAGCCAAAGACTTAACTGGTTTCACAACAGATACATCCTAATTTAAGGATATTGATTTTTCTATTCCACACCATGACTGACATAGATTGTGACCAGAAGTGAATCACCCATGACAGCCAGTGTAAATTTATACAGTCAAAGGATTCTGAAGGAGATATCTCACTACAGTACTATCAAAACTGACAAATAAGCAAAGCTCCATTCTAGTCATCATGGATGTGACCAGGCTGTACAATAGTATTTCATGCCAGGATGGCACTGAAGCCTGCCTGAAGCTCTTCCATGGAAAGAGAGTCAGCATTCAGCCCAAAGACACTGCCAAAGTTAATTAGTTCACCCTCACCATCTGTACTTTTACCCAAACCCCTGCTAATTATGCCAGGAGATCACACAACAGTATTTTGAAACAACTCACCTCCAAGCTCGTTCTCCCACATCTACTTGCACAATCCCCTGATACTGATGAATTTATCCCAACTCCTACACAGGCCCCTCTTTCCCAAGGAATTCTTCAGGGTGTCATAGACTCTCTTCTGCACTCTCTCCCTGTCCCATAGGGCGAAGTAAGCACACATCTT